TTAATACAAGGATATTACATTATTATTTATTTTTCGCTATATATTTTTCCAACACTGGACGCTGGAGGACACAGATTAAACCAACACTAAGTTACTTTTCAACCTTAAATATTTTCATATCTTTTGTGATTATACGTTGACTTACAGCTAGGTGAATGACACCTCTGTCATGGCCTGAGGGGGTCTATATCGATTTCCCTATTTCTCAGGCATTAAGCATCTTTGACAAGGGTGGCAGTAACCTTGCCACACACAAAAAAACTACAAATGTGCAGACTGCTTCATGGCGTACATCATTTACCCCTTTCACCATTCTTTATGAAGACAGAAGTCGATGCAACTGAATTTCCCTGAGAGACTGTATACTAGTGTAAAGGGTTTTTTCATTCAGGCATTCCAAAAAAGTAAAAAAAAAACAATCCAGTGGAATTGTTGTTGCAATGCAGGGATACGTGTGTTTACTGTGAAATGATCAAACAGGATTATATTTATTTGTTTCAAGGGTATAAACTCACCAGTAACTGATGTGCTGACGAGTCTAGTGTGGTGGAGGGGAGTGGCAAGTGCAGGGTGGTGGTGCAGTAATATGGTACAAAGCTAAAGTTAAACGTTTCTTGTTTTCAAAAACGTCATATGACATTCCAAAAAATCCACTGGACTTTGTTTCCAAGTTTGAAGACATTTTGCTTCCCATCTAAGGAAAAACCTACAATGCAGCAATTGTGTTTATTCCTTGCCGCTATCATTATAACCCTACCCTCTTACAGTGGAACAGAAGACCTCACCTTTTTTAGCCAGGCCAACAGTTCCAATTAAAAACCCCTCCCCCCTTTCAGAGACATGGACAGATATGGGGTATTTGTAGGCTAACAAAGAAGCCAAAAGACCCCCATTCCAAAGGGGCTGACCCGTTCGTCTGGAGCAATTTGCATGTTTTCTAAGTAAAAACAAGGCTTTGGTGGTCAACTCTATAAAGCCTGGAACTCAACACTATTTCTGACTTTTTGAATTGAAAAAACTTTCTGGAGGTCATATGACATTGTTGAAAACAAGAAATGTTTAACTTTAGCTTTGTACCGTATTACTGCACCGTCACCATGCCCTTCCCACTCCCCTCCACCACACCAGACTCATCAGCACATCAGTTACTGGTAAGTTTAGAGCCTTGAAACAATTAAATATAATGTTGTTTAATCATTTCACAGTAAACACTTATCCCTGCATTGCAACAACAATTCAAGTGGATTGTTTTTTTTTTACTTTTTTGGAATGACTAGGACCTGGATGACTTAGAATCTTCACCGTCATATGACATTGTTTCGCCATAATTAAATTCATTACCTCATCACTATTCATCTTTCACACAGCCACTGGAAACAGCAATTTGGTTCAATCCAATTGCAGGTAACCAGGGGATCAGAATTGTACTGCTCTATATGCACTGGTTCTCATGGGTAATGCTGTCTTCCTTCAGGCAAAATTATTAAAGCTTTTGTCCACAGGGAGTGCCAAAATTGACCAAAACTGAAAACTCTTTAGAACTGCTTTAAAGGCAATAAACTTGACAAAACAAGGGTTGACTCATTCTAAATTGTTGTTATAACCCAACGGATAACGTTTTGTAGGCTAAAACTTCTTAAATAGATTGGCGCTGAGAAATACCAATAACACAGATAATGCCCATTTAGCTGCATCTTCTTTTGTGACTATTGAAAAAATGTAATTGTATTAATAGCTGTCAAAGTTATTTAGTTTTCAGTAGTTAGTTTTAGTAATGGCATTTAAGTCAGATCACAGTGTAGCATGTTGCCTATGAAGACAGAGCAAAGCAGATTAGCAGAATCAGCAAACTGGAAATCAACCTTTCCAGGCACATCATGCTCCATCCTTCCTGAGGCATTAATGCCTCCCACAGTAAAGAAGGTGTGACATGATGTGTCTCTTACTGATGGTGCTGATGGATGGATGAAAATCAGGAGGACGGTTTGCATTGAGCAATTGTTACACATAAAATCCAAGTGCCACTTCCTGTCCCCGGTGTCCAATGTACTTCTGTGAAGGTTAAAGTAATGACAGCTGGAATGGCTCCCTTTTGCCTCTGATATATGCAAATACATCCTGTATAAAGTATACAATGAAACCTACTACCTATGGACTTAAACCTCTTTACATTTTGACAATGATAAAAAAAAAATGTAGCTAATCCTGGTTGGCAGTTAATCTAATTCTTCCTATGTTATCTATACATGAATGCTTGTATATTTGCAACACAATCAGTTTTCTTCACACGATGGTTCTAACTCTGGATATCATGTTATACCTTAAAAGTCAAAATCAGTGTTCATGGTCAAGATTGCATGAACTAACAAGGATTTTTTTCAAGCATTCATTAAATATAAAGTTTAGGACCAAGAAGGCCATATGTAGCACCACCTTGAATTTAAATGTAACCGATAAACTCAGAAGAGACATTTTGGAGACCCTTTACTTTGAATACTCGTCATAGATTTCTTATTGCTGTATCAATATTACGTAAAAAAGATAACAGCTCCTTATTGCTAGTAAACACAAAATGTCATTGTTTTTAACCCTAACCCAAAACAAGAATGTTAATGCAGATGGTAAAATAATCTAACTTGTTAATCATTAAAAATGTAATAATATGATAAGCTAATGGATACGATAAGGTCTGTTAGGTTCCTCACCAATACTGTCTGTATTTTTCTCATCAGAAAATGTTTCCAAACTGTTTATTTCCAGATAAACCACAAAAAAACCCGTTATTTGTAGAGTTATAGACTCCAGTCCTCTAAACTGACTAGTGTGCAATAACAGGTGTGGGAGGGGGGAGGTATGTGTCACAATATATCTTCAAACAGCCAGTGAAAACTGAGGTCTCGGAAAGCTTATACTAGAATGTTATAATCTTATAAAACAGATTAATGGCAAGTGTGATACAACAAAATATATATATATGTATATTTTTTTTTTTCACAGCTACAACTATTTCAAACCTTGGTAGGCTTTGATATTGACCTGTGCCCAAACCGGAGGAATTTGTTTGAATTAAAATCAGCATCTTAGGAAACTAATTAGAAAAGAGTTAATGTTAGAAAAAAAATTAACATTTGTTTTTGGTGTTTTAATTGTACACTAATTGACCAATGACAGTATGTTAACTTATTTTCAGTGGTGGAAAGTAACAAAGTACATTTACTAGATTACTGCACTTAAGTAATTTACTTGACTTACGGTACTTATAACTTTCTTTCCACTACTTTTCAAAGTCATATATTCTACTTTCTACTCCACTGCATTTCTAGGAAGCTGCTAGTTCCTTGTTCCTTTCGGCTCAGCTTAGCTTTGTAATCCACTGTTCCTGTTTTTACTTCTGGAAATGCAATTTCAACATTGCTGATAGCAGCCCTTGGGACTGAATTTGGAAACCACTGTTTTAGAGATTTGACATGATGTTGCACAGATGTCAGAAACTAGGAGAAGATATTATTAGTAGTTTATAAATGTTATTAAGGCCTTAGTTGTTGCTTTGGGGCCAAGTTGTTCAGAAGGATGAGTTACAGTTTTTTTGTGGTGTAAGATTCAACCTTAAACCCTATACCATAATTAAAGTTTGCAGGGATTCAAGACTCCTGTTGCCTTTCTGCTTTGTTTTTAAATATGAAATAATAAAATAGCTGTCATTTTTTGTGGCATTTTAATGCCGGCGTTCTTTACAGGTGATGTAGAATCTATAACAGGTGGTTCTACGCATCAATATATCAGGTGGTTTTTAAAAGTTAAAATGTTTTTTAAAATTATTCTGAAAATTATACAGAAATGTACTGATATTAGAAAGCTATTTTTGAACACCTAAGTACTTTTAAATGCATGTACTTCTTAATACTTAAGTGTTTTCAAAAGTGAGTACTTTAGTAACTTGAGTAGATTATTGACTAACTTTTACTCGTAGTTGAGTAAGATTTGACTAATATCAATACTTTCACTTAAGTACTACAGTTGAGTACTTCTTCCACCACTGCCTGTTTTCTAAATTAGATTGGAGTGTCAGCAATCATTGCTATGCCGATGTTTTCTGTATGATTTTGTTTCATCCGTAATTCTTCTGTGATAGGTCAAGAAAATATACATAGTGATAACTGATAAAACCACGTGATAGAAAGTAAGCACGTAATTTTATAACTAGAAAAATCAAGTTTCTATTTTATACTAGAACTAGCCTGAAAAAAAAAGTACTTTATTTTTATCATATAAGAAAACCTCTGGTAATTTATAGCATGAAGTAAGATTGCAAAAGCCTTCAGTGAGTTGCTTCTACTTAAAGAATACAATTAGCTTAAACTGCCAGAATATTAAAAGTGCTTCCATTGCATTTTTCCCCACAGGTCAAAGGTCATCCTCATATTAGAACCTTAATGCATGTCGCTAAAAACCCTGTTTGTTGCATTATTGCTGCTATAGCTCCCATATTCCTGATGCAGCTCCTGACAGCTGTGGAGCACCACAGCTGAGCGTCCTGGCCGGCCTCCAGATTGCTGCTTGATGTCTGCCTGATAGGAAGTTGATTGACTGACTAGCAGGACCTCCTGAGAGGCCTTTGAGTCAAGCCTCTGACTGACGGGTCAATCAGCCACCCAGGACCCCTACTGTGGTTATCAATTATTAACCGTATGAGGGGAAAAAAAACACTCGTCTGATTCCTGTTGTGACATGTCATGACCTTTGCGGACTCTCCAGGGGCCGTCATGTTCTGCCTTTCTAACTCGCTAATATCGTAGCCATCTCTCAGTTCAAATGACACTGAATTATCTTTAGGATACCATTATTACCTGATGATGGATGCTGACATTTAAAGAAAGTTTCCTTTTGGACCAGAGTCGTACTTAGGTGCCATTTCTTTATCTAATATGTCATATGTGTCAGTTGACAGAAAAATGTTGTAATTTGTGGACTCTCTGACACAAAGTGCCTTTCTCTTTCAGCTCATAGTTGGGATCATCCAGGCAGCAGAGCTCCCTGCTATGGATATGGGAGGCACATCCGACCCTTATGTTAAGGTCTACCTTCTACCCGACAAGAAGAAGAAATTCGAGACCAAGGTCCACAGGAAGACCCTAAACCCCGTCTTCAATGAGCAGTTCACCTTCAAGGTACCTCTCGCATTAATCCTTTGAGCTTTGCTGAGTGCTCAAAATCGTTTCCACAGTTTTGTAGCAGGAAATCTTTCACTTCTGTTGACAATCCGATTTGCATGCAGCCATGAAACCTGGGAGGGTGTGCAGACAGCAACCAGCTGGTGCATTAACAAGCTCCTGACAGAATATCTCTCACACACACTAACAGTCAGGCTCAGTATGATTGGGATTAACACAGGCAGATGCACAGCTTTGCCCCTGCCTCGCCACAGTCATAATGGATGCATAGCTACTGCTTAGCGGTGGAGAAAGTTTTGTTATTTGCTCAACTGTGGAGAGCTCAGGTGTTTGATGTACGTTAACCATAATGCAATGTGATATTCATGTAAATGCATAACTGTGTGTTTGCTTTTCTTAAATACATATTTATAAATCTGAAATGAATCATGGAAAAAGCACATATGGCAGCTATACCTTTATGAATACTTGTAAAGGACAAGAAAGTGTCCATTTCTAACCTGGTTAATATCTCTGTTCATCAGACTTGGATCAAAAAGCTAAATCCAAAAACATCTAAATCTCATCAGTACACTTTTAAAATAGACACAAAAGAAAAGGTCCAGTTTGACTTGTATTGAAGGTCTTTCTAAGATTTTGTTCTGACCTTGGTTGATTTTTCAATCTTTTTCAGTGCAATACAGTAAAAGACAAATAACAAAACCCTTTAACTCTGACATGTGATTTATTTGTGCAAGACAGGCTCTGACAATCACCAGTTCAGGCAGTTTTCAAAGCTCTCAATACAGAAACTTGGCAAAGAACCATTTTAAATTTCATGGTGCACCTTTCTTTCTAACACTGAAATGTCATTGGACATCTATTTAATGGCTTTTTGAGGTTAGTTAGCCAAGTTATGGTCTTTATTCAATACAGAACATTTAGTTTTTCCACATAAAAATGTGTTATCAGTCATAAACAAAGATGTTTGATGTAAGGATAGATGAGGCTGTCTGATCATCCTTAGCATCCGCTAGACCACTTTTAGTAATTAGTAGAGCCTTTACGTAGACATCTCTACGCCTTTCGATTTTTAAATGTCATATACATTGCTTTGGCAGATTTTTCAATCTCATTCATTTTATTTAAATCAATTCACAACAGATATCCTCTAAAGGCACATTAGAGAGACAATTCAACTGAGATACAGTCCAATTGGTTAAAAGTTTTCTAAGGAAACCCAGCAGGCTTCGTCGACTCTTTGACTTTGCCAGATTCATACCTCCTAGATGAGCATTTAGAGACATTCTACATTTGCTTGCATTGTGTTGTTCCTCACACCAAGCATGCTTGCTGTGAGAGTGGGGAGAAAAAACTCAATTTTAAGAGAAAGAAACCTTCAGCAAAACCAGGCTCAGTGTGAGCGGCCTTCTGATGAGGCTGACAGGGGATTCAAGGAGACAGAAGCAGACATACAAAAAGAACATAGAAAGACTGATCTTTGAAAGCTTTCTATTTTATAAAAGGTGAATTTGCTCTATAGATGGCTCTGTCTAGTAAAGAAACACTTAAACCATTTCACACCCCTTATAGTGTTTTAACAGCAACAAGAGTTATTTTAGTTATTATAGGCACTTGCTGAATAGAGGGTCAATGCATCTCTCAGACTAGGTCAGCTCCCTAATAGATTTTCAAAAAATAAAACATGACTTTCAGGTATTCTTCCTACATTTTAAATGTGTTTTCTTGGTCTAAGACAAACTTTTTAGACTATTACGATTATTAGCTTCAAAAACTGTTGTAAAGAGAGTTTAAAAAATATTTAACAGACCTTAGGAAACCATAGAGCTGTTGATATAGACTTTTTAGAAAGATAACTTAGAAATATGTAGATCATACATAAGTCTATCTCCTTGGAAGCTCTATGTATTAAAAAAAAATATCTCAAATCTTATAAATAACAAAATAACCTGTAATGAAAACCAATATTTGTAATTTATATTGACTACTTTTTAAACTGACTCATAGATAACTTTTCTGTATTTCAAACAAAACTACAATAAAATCAACAAAAACAAAGCAGATGGCAAGAAAGCTCCTAAAATAATCAGACTACCAGGGGTATTGGCAAAGATATGACTGAATAAGAAAACTGAATCATAAAAATAATAAAAAAAGAAAATTAAGCCATATGAAAGGAGGAAACTCAGCATCTGTCAGGATTTCCATGAGTCCAAAAAAGATCCTAGGAGGTAATGGCTGAACCATCACAGCTGCTGTGATTATTTTAGGACACTGGAGATTTAGCTTTTCCACGTGTTCAAAAATATGTTGGCAACTGATGTCAACCCGATCACACAATGACAGACATTTTAATTTTGATACATTATTTTTAAATAATCTCCAAACCTGCCAAGAATGGATTTCAACTTTATTATACTATGAACTTATCTCTAACAGAGAACAGGATCTGCTGTTTAGATTGAATTACTTCCTTCTTGAAAGTTTTTCGGGCTGCTCATTTGTCAGATTTTTCTAAATCGGACCAACATTAACCAAATAATTAAGTGCATAAGTCTTCAGACTAGAAACAATTATCACGCCTCTAAATGCCCCTTTATCAGTCCAGGACACAAGATGACATTAAAACGTAGCCAGAATGAGGTTGGCGTGTAGAGTCTTGGAGAAGTTTTCTCAAGGAAAACAAGCTACACATATGAACTAATCCCTGATGGACTCTCTTAAAACTAGGGCTGAACAATTTTTGGAAAATAATCTAATTGTTTTTTTGTTTTTTTTATCTTATTATTGCGATTTAATGCAATAATGTGTTTTTAAACAAATACAAGCAATAAATCAGTCTGTTTCATAATAATCATTCGATTTCTTTAAAACACAGATTAAGCTTTACCTCATTAACATCTTTTTATGTTTTAATGAAACATGAAGATATAGATATATGGACTGCACTCCTTAAATAGTACCAGATTTTAACAGACCAGTCTTTAAATAATCAAATTAAGATATGAAAATAGTATTCACTGATCTCCAATTAGTGGCATCACACACTAAAGAGCAGGAAAATTTTAAGTTTAAAATGTCTCCTTTCAACCAGTTGAAAGTTTTATAGGTATATCAAACTCTGAAATTAACACAAAATTAACAAATGTATGAACTTTTTAAATCCTAAGAAGAAATTTTTTTTAACAGTTATGTAAATCATATATTAACTCAACTTAATGCACAGTTAAAATCTGGTATGGCTCATCCGTACGGCTTGACCGCAAATCAGTAGTTGTTGCAAAAAACTCCTGTTTTTAGCTCCGCTGAAAATCTGTTTCTGCATTTTTTGTGTTGCTCAGGTATGGCCTCTTGGCTAAAATATGTGCATTAGTGCATTAAACACCTCTTATACATCAGGCTTACCAAAGCTGTAAACCCAGGCTTGGTCATTATACTAATTGGCATCAGGTCTTTCTCTATAAACTTGAGTTATTACCTGAGTTATTTCATTGTTATGTTTCGAATTATGTTCATAAGGAGTAAGACTTTCAGACAGTTCGGTCAGTGATCCCTGTCACCTGGTTCTTTACATTCTTGACGTAGGGGCACTGTTGGCATTCTAGCCATGCAACTATCATACATGGCTTTGTGTTTTTTTTAAGCGATAAAGGTTTGTTGTTTTGCATTGTAAGGCAGTAGCAAGGCATTGTCATGGCAGCATTGTCTTTTTTAAACCCAAAATAATTCCATATAATTGACGTACTGCTTCTCTTTGGCACGAGACCTTCAGTTGTGTCAGTTTTTGTCCAGCCAACAGGTTATTCGCTGATGAATACTGACTTTTCTTCCTTGCTCCTTTGCTAGCAAGTCATCCCCAATCACTGGACCCATCAAATCGTGGCCTTTGCAGTTAGACAATCTTGCTTTATCATATTACAACATTATTGCAAATGCAATTAATTGTTCCTCCCTACTTTGCACTGCTGTTCAAATGGCAACTATATCTAGAAAGCTTTTTGAGTGAGGTCTGGGCATTATGTTTGAGGATGCTGAGGAGAAACATCTTATATACCTGTAGAAATGCAACTAAAATAGCTCTAAAGAAGTAGTAATTTACCTTCACACTGAAAAATAAAGTATCTTGAAATTTGCCCCAATTATTTACATTTGAACTTTAAGGGAAGATCTTGAGTTGGTCCTAATCCAGCGTAAAGGGAGCTGCATAAGTAGTAAACCTATGCATAGTTTTTATCACTTTTTCAGCACTGTAGAAATGGCAACTTCCAAACTGGTAGTTGGTGTTAACTGGTTCTTGGAAGTTAATTTGATTTAAAGCATTGATTTAATAAGTGTATTTTCCCCCCCAGGTACCCTACGTAGAGCTTGGTGGAAAAACGCTGGTAATGACGGTCTACGACTTTGACCGCTTCTCCAAGCACGATGCCATTGGAGACATCAAGGTGCCCATGAACAAAGTGGACTTTAGCCGTGTAACAGAGGAGTGGAGAGATCTACAGAGCGCTGAGAAGGAGGAGGTGAGCCTTTACATCCATGTCATTACAGTCACATGCCAAAGCAATATACAAAAGGTACCGAAAAATAAAATTCTGAAATCCCTCTGCAGACGGTGTTTATTAGACTCTTAGATGTGAACATTTTCTACCTCTTGTTTTTATAATTAGGGTGTTTTTATGACACAAGTGATATTGTAGTCATGACATAGTGGAGCTTGTACCATAAGTACGTTGGCGTGGCTGAGGAAATCCATTTCTCCTCCAAATGCCACTTAATCATATGTCCACATTTCCTGTTCAATTAATAGAAGTGTGGGTTTCCAGGCTCCAGCTCGGGAGATTCAATTTTCATGGTAAATGTCATGGCATATAGCACATGCTGGCAACCTTATTTTTAGCATTACGGTGGGTTGATTTGAAGGTTAATTATCACACCATGGATGGTTGGTGGAGTTGTTGAGTTGAAGGTTATCCCTTGGCCTCTTTAAGCTGCATTGATACTTATTCCCTGCATCACAGTGACACTTTTTCTTTATCATTCTAAAATTTAGAACATCTACGTTTTTAATCAGTAAGACCAATTATTCTGTTTGTGTTTTACTACAGGTTTAATTTTTTTTTTTTGCATATTTCTGAGCTTGATATTTAAAGCTTCTATATGCATGCATTTGAGACAAAAATAGTTATCAAAATTAACTTCAAGCCCAGCTGGCTAGTTGTTTTTTGTTTGTTTTGTTTTTTTAGCAGAAGCATTAAGAGGACCTCTATTGACTATTTTAAAGGCTTCATTTATACTACCTTTTGCAGTCTCTAGTATTACAGCTGAATAAAAATTATATTTACTCTTTCAGAGATTTTATATCTGCGCCAGACAAGACTGTTAGATAGAAAACAATAAAACAGTCAAAGGATGAATTCTGCAGAGATTTTCATCAGTCTGATTCTGCATGAGGTAACGGAGCCTAATTAATCCCACATGAAAAGCTTCTGAAATATAACTAAGGTCAAAATACTGGATCAGTTTGTTGATTACTTAAAACATTTTCTAAAAAATGTATACTCTTCAAACATGTTTGACCCAGTGCGTGTGGGCAACTCCAGTATATGAATTATTTTTTTTATTTTAAAAAAGTCAAAAAAATGTTATTTATTTTTTTTTAGCAAAAACGTAAGTGCAAAAATTCTGATTTTTAGAAGCAGTTTAAAGCATAGAACACTTCAGAAATACACTTCGATCTGTAACAGAACTAAGTATAATAACTAAGTTTAGATACCCTGCTATTAAAGACAGAAAAACAGTTTCCAGTCAAATAAAATGAAACTAACAAAAGCAATAATAAAATTAAAAAAAATGGAAATCATGACATTGACTTTAATTTATGTATATATACAATAGAATATGAGCCGGTAAAACAATATCGCATAAAATAGTCTCAATAAAAGCAGTCTGATATTGTTACTAAGCTATATGATAATATATAAAGATGAGTAATTAAAACAACAAAGAATAGACTACATTAATCTTTAAAACAAACACACTGATGCTTTTAGAGATTTAAACTTGGTTTTTCTGCAGGTGAAGAACTGAAATAAACAGAGATAAGGTCTATGATGTGAGGGTAAATCACAGCTTAATGTTTGCTCATCTGAATAGTTTTTTTTTAATAATCTCTATTACAGCATCAATGACCCAAAATATATTGTATTTTGAGTTATTTCCCAGCCATTCTGAAAAAGCTTTGAACATTTAAGGATTTTATCATTTCCAGGTCCTATTAAAAACAGTAAGAATAATATTTTCTTCATTTTTGTTATCCATCTGTGTGTCATACATCTATTAATCAATTAATTTATCTGCCCAACTGTTCCATGCATCCTGAGTTTTTAGTAGTGTCTTTACTAAAAAAAAAAAAGAAGTGCAGCTAAAGTTATATCAGGTAGAATTTCACGGTAAATCTAAGTGTTGATGATTCATAAACTGGCTGAACAGGACAGATAACACTGACAGTTTAGAGCTGAAAAGGTGTGGATTTTATCTAATGATATATTGTGACCTTGTGAAAGCATTCTCATTTAACATGATTTTTCTACCTCCTCCCTCACAGCAAGAGAAGCTTGGCGATATTTGCTTCTCTCTGCGATACGTTCCCACTGCTGGGAAGCTGACGGTGGTCGTCCTCGAGGCCAAAAACCTGAAAAAAATGGACGTGGGTGGCTTGTCAGGTGAGGAGATGAAATCTTTTTGTACCCACTGACTTTTTTTTTTAGTGACGGGGCTTTTGTCTGTAATTACATGTGCCCAGCAGCACTCTTTTTCTCTCCCACAACATGATTGTTATTCCCTCTTTCTCTTAATACAAACACTGAATTTTACTTGACGTTTTCCCTTAGAAATCTACCAAAGTGATACATATTTAGCTTGTAATGGTTGTATTTATTTAAATGGTAAAAAAACGTCAAACATATTTCAGATTTGGTGTGACTCATCACTTCCCTTGTGTGATGGATAAGAGGTTTTGTATGTTTTTGGATTATTACCTTGGTGCTTTTGAAGCTTTTATGCACTGAAGCATTGCAAACCCTTCCCTAGTTCAAAAGTGGCAAAACAATCCTAAAGGCTGCCCTTTTCCAGACAATGTTATATTTTGGTCTTTATATTCACACAATTGTAGGCTTTTGTCATGTGTTTTCCACTCCTTCACTATATATACTACTCTAAAAACTAAAGGAAACACTCAAATAACACATCCTAGATCTGAATAAACGAAATATTCCTATTGAATATGTTGTTTTGTACAAAGTTGAATGTGTGGACAACAAAAAAATAAATAAAAAATGGAAATCAAATTTTTTAAGAAGGGGGGTCTGCATTTGGCATCACATACAAAGAAAAACACACAACAGGATAATCCAAATTTGAATGCTCAGTGTAGTGTGTGGCCTCCACATGCCTGTATGACCTCCCTACTACACCCAGGCATACTCCTGATGGTCTCCTGAGGGATCTCCTCCCATACCTGGACTGAAGGATCCGCCAACTCCCTAAAAGTCTGTGGTGCAACATGACATTGGAGGATGGATCCAGACAAGATGTCCCAGATGTGTTCAATCAGATTCAGGTCTGGGTAAAGAGCAGATTAGTGCATAGCTGCAATGCCATCATCGTGCAGGAACTGCTGAAGCACTCCAAGCCACTTGAGATCTAGCATTAGGAGGAACCCAGTGCCAACCGGAACCAGCATATGGTCTCACAAGGGGTCTGAGCATCTCATATTTGTACCTCATTACTGAGCCTCATTACTGAGCCCACACCATTACTGACCCACTGCCAAACTGGTCATGCTGAAGGATGTTGCAGGCAGCAGATCACTTTCCATGGTGTCTCGTCTGTCACATGTGCTGAGTGTGAACCTGCTTTCATCTGTGAAGAGCACAGGGCGTAAGTGGTGAATTTGCCAATCATGGCGTTATCTGGCAAATGCCAAGCATCCTGCATGGTGTTGGAATGTGAGAATAACCTCCATCTGGTGACGTCGGGCCCTCGTACTGTCCTTATGGAGTCCGTTTCTAACTCTTTGTGCAGACACATGTACATTTGTGCGCTCTGGCAGTGCTCCTCCTGTTCCTCATGGCACAAAGGCAGAGGTAGCGGTCCTGCTGCATAGTTTTTGCCTCCTACGGCGTTCTCAACATCTCCTAGTGTACTGGCTTGTCTCCTAGTAGCGCCTCTGGACACTACGCTGACAGGCAAATCAAACCTTCTTGCCACAGCTCACATTAATGTGTCATCCTGAATGAGCTGCACTACCTGTACCAGTTATATGTGTTGTAGAGTCCGTCTCATGCTACCACCAGGGTGAAAGCACCGCCAACATTAAAAATTGCAGGACCACTCCTTTATTGAGTGTGTCTTGCTAATTGCCAATAATTTCCACCTGTTGTCTATTCCATGCACAACAGCAAGTGCAAATTATTATCATTCAGTGTTACTACCTAAGTGGACAGTTTGATTTAATTGAGGTTACACAGTGTTGTTTACATGTTCCCTTTATTTTTTAGCAGTGTTTTTACTCAGCCATTTACAGTAATGTTCAAAACTGTGACTAAAGTGCATCAGCTATAATAGACCCCTTTGTGCCGCAGCATCAATGTTATTGTGCTGAAAAACAACACGAATGCTTTTTAGTGGAATTTCATTTAAAATCTAATATAAAATTTTTTACAGATTTCTTTAAAGATTCAATAAAAAGTGGGAACAGAAACTGCATTAAGATACAATAAATTGTTAAGGTTAATATGCTTAAGCTTTCTTTAATTGATGAATGCTAATCAATCCTATGGTCACATTTTGTAGGGTTACAATCGATGTCATGGAGTCTGTTCTCTGTCTTTCGTAGCTTTTGTAAGTTTCCATGATATTTACTATGCTTTTATAGTTTAATGTGCAGAAAAATATTTACCATCATGTGCTTATTTTCCCTAAAGTTTTAGTAACTGTCATTTTTGTATCAAAGTGGATCGTGATCTCAAATAAACTACTTTAGGTATATTTCTAAAACACCAATCGATCGCTCGTGTCACTTTAAGGCGCTTTGCAGGGTCAGTTCAATCAAGTCACACGGACTGGTTAAAAAAGTTCTTGCTTTGATTCCAGCTTCTAGTGCTCAAATGCATTTAAAGATCCCTTCTTGCATGTACTCTAAAAGCATGAAATCACACTGTAATCTGGCTGCTGCCCCTGTGACTTTTTCCTCAGGTTCATTTCAAATTCTCCATTGTGCACTTCCCTCTTGCTTCGACTCTTTCCACCACAATTACCATCCACCTGGGTCCACTTGCCTTCTGCTTGACAGGCCAGACTCGCTATAAGCCTAAACAAAGTGCAGTACTGTAACACAGAAAGCATTCAGAGCTCAGAGCTGCCTTTCATCCATGAAAACAGAGCGAGCAGCCATTTGGCTACGATGTGGATTAAAATAAAAATCCCCTGCTGCCATTTTATGATACCAGCATTAACTCTCACCTTTGCCATTTTTGCATTAGGTGATTGTAAATATTCACCACATGAAGAATCTAATAAAATTGAGTGAAATTCTCAAACATTTATAGTATAATTTTTTTTGTAATGTATATGTTCATCTCTCTGCATCTAGTTTGTTTTATTGCGATACAATCAAATCCACATATAAACTGCACCTTAATTAGAAGTTTTTTGCGCCCTCAATTAGGTTTTCTGACGAAAAAGAATTTGCCATAAGCGGGTAGCCGAGGGATGGAATAACGGGCAGGTCTTAACAACAATAATTAGCCTCCAAGCACAGTCAGAGCTTAAGAAGGAGGACGTGTAATTGATGGCCTGGGATCAGCCTTCTCCCCTTTTGTCATCCTGTTTACCATGCCTAATTATGGCTCACAGTGGAAGATGTGGGAATTATCATTAACCAATGTATAATCAGAAATAATTCTTTTGATTTGCTCCTCATGAAGCGGTCCGTGAACCTACCCTCATGCTGGGCCACCTAAAGAAAAGCTTTAAAACTTTGTTTTCAGAAGTTCTAGTTGACCTTTTTTGTCGCCGCGTCTTAACTGCCACGATGCTCAGGGCACCATGTTCTTTAGCTGTCGTCTTAAAATAATCCGGGCCTCATTACCGACAACTTACTCCTTTTTTCACTGTCGCAGGCTGCACCGTTTCAAGCTAAAATACATAGCTATTATGTTGCCTCGTAGGCAATCAGATTTCTCTGAATTGTTTAACTCCAGGGGGTAATTTTTTTGTCCAACAGCCAAGAAAGTGACTTATTAGCTCTCATAACCTCAAACTATTTCAGCCTCCTACGGATGTCAGTCTTTATTGTGAGGTTTATCTAATAGCAGTCCAAAACAGAATATATATGGGTTTTTTTTTTTAAGATAATGCACTCTTATATTGGTAGTAAGGACATCCGATATTACCCAGAGGTTGAGTGAAAGGATAACTTCCTGAGACTGTTTTGTTTTCCTCCTTTTGTATTTTTTTGGAGAGCTGTTAGGCAGCATATAACCAAGTAATGACCTGCAGAAACGGGGCTATCAAAGCACTAAGGTGCTGTTTGGACGTTAATGAAGCTGCACTGCCTTGACCCAAGGCGATATCTCAGTATCAAACCTTTCAGCTGGAAGGTTTATTTGTCTTATGCTGCTGCCTGGTCCCACAAGGAGACTTCCAAGTTTCTATGTAAGCCAGCGGGCTTAAGGGATCATTAGGTCAATGTAAAAGCAATTTAAAAGTGATTAAGGAAGACAAAATTAATGTTGTTGGCGTTTTGGGTTTTAGATTTTTTTCCCTGATAATTATTTTAGAGTGTAAGATTCAAACTTCGACTCTTTAAAGTTCAGCTAAAAGCTTAACTGTTAAGTTACACTTAAGCCTTTATCATAGAGTGAGTGACTTATGGTGAAAAGAAAGTAAAGCTGCCATAAATAAATCAAAGTAAATATATTTATTTACTTAACTTTGTCAGTTGAACAAATCAATCCTTCTCCATGGAGTCATCTGATTAGTTTGATGAGAAAGTGGTTTATAACATAGTTAATGTATTGCCTTAAATCTTGATTTATTTCTAAAACACTTTGACATCTAATATAAAATGATGTAATTTAATTGTTGATTAGCAGACTTGGGAATGGAATAGAATGTATTTAACTTGCTCAGATATTGCTTGGCACATTGCTTTTGGGTCATGTTGGCTATTATAAATCTTACTGAAAGAAACGCTGTATAACTATTGTACCCAAGTATTAGCTTAATTAAATTACTTGAATTTACCTCACTTGGAATGTGTCATTGCTATATGGAGTCTGCTCTTCTGAAAAACTTCCCAATGTGACTTGAATCCGTCACTAAATCGGTCCTGTGACCTAGAGCAATCTGAGCCCCCCCGTAAGACCAGAGCTAATTAAGCTAAAAGTTGTTGTTTGTCTACTGGACAGATATGACAGTCACCCGATTAGGTATGCTTTTATTTTTCTGATGTATGGATTAATCTAGATGGGTAATGTTTCCTCGTCGTTAAAAGTACACTAACTCCATAACTTGCTGCTCCAAAGATGCCTGCTATAAGATTACAAAACAATAAGGAAGATGTTTAATTTAGCAACAGAACAGTGCTTCACAGAGATGCTTCAGCAAAGATTGCATCAGAGGTTCCTCAAGGCTTGATTCTTGGATATTTATTTAATAT